TTCAAGGAGCTCACAATCTAATGAGAGAGACAACATGTAGACAACTCTATGCTAACTATAGGGGTGTGTGTGTGTGTGTGTGTGTGTGTGTGTGTGTGATGAATTGGAGACAATATCAAAAGCACAAACATTACAGGGGTCTGCAAAAAGGCTTCCTGTGAAAGGTGGGATTTCAGAATACTTTCCTTGGCCTTACTTACTTACTTGGCCTCTTTAAATCTCTAGCCACATTCAAGGACTACCTCCTATAGTGAAGACCTACCTGACATACTGGCTGTTTGGCTCCTTCCCCAGTTATTAAGCACTTTTTTTGTATATACTTTATGTGTCCACACTATTTCAGATGACAAAATGTATACTCCTTGAGGGCAAGGTCTGTTTCTTGTTTACTTTTGTATGCTCAGAGCACTGCTTGGCACACAATAGGCACTTAATTAATGCTTCTTGGCCCATTTATTTACATTGCCTACATGCTACCTCTATGAAGAAGCTGCCCTTTGAAGGTCACTTCTAACATGCCTCCCTTTAATAATGTGACCCGAGAATTCCATCCATATATGTTCACCCTTGCTCCTCCCTTCCCTCCCCTCCTAATCTCGTCCTAAGCATTTCCTATCTCTGCACCCTGGGTTTTCTGTAAAGCAGATGGTGGTAGAAATCTTGCTCTAGTCCAAAGCTGGTTCCCTCAGCAGCCTTCTCTTAAGGAATGCTGCAAAAACACCCACAGATTTGTTTTGAATCTTCAGCAGCATACCCTGGGATTGGATCCTCGCTTAGTGTGTTTCCTTAGAAGGGAAAATCATTATTCATTTTCTGGAAAATGAAGCCAACTTGCCTATCTAAGGCTCTGTGTGTGTGTGTGTGTGTGTGTGTGTGTGTGTGTGTGTGTATGTGTGTGTGTGTATGTGGGGGGAGGGAGGGGACAAAGAACAGACCACTTATGTGATTGAAATATTTCATTTAAAATCAGATATAAGGTTCCTGGCTTAGTTCTAGGCAATGTTACAAGTTCTCAATTACTCCCTGGTCCCCTGAGTCAGAAAGTAGACCTCTATGGCAAAGTTGTTCAAATCAGTAGAGCTGGCTGATTTCTAGAACTTGGAATGGTTAAGTGTACTGTTGAGGGTGGTATGCCCTAAGGCATTTGTCTAAATTATCCTGTTGATTATAGAAAAGAAAATTGGGTTAGAAATCTTTCTGAAATTGCATTTTGTGTTTCCCATCCCCAAGAAGAAGTAGTCAAAAGAGGAAGGCAGAAAAAAAAAAGTGATTTCTTGGTTTTTATTATCTTAGTTAATTCTGATGCATGATTCTGAATGGAGGAAGTGGGCACCCTAGGTGCATAGGTATGGGCACAGGTAGGTTATGTGATCTGTATCCCTGGAGAGCGCACCCATAGATCACAGATCTCCTGAATTCTTGGGAGCGCTGAATGTCAGTGATACACATTTTGTCTTAAACTAGGGTTGACCAGGATGAGGGCAGCTAACAAACTAATGATTATGGAGTATAGTGGAATGCAGAGGGGAAGTCACTGAGATGATGATAATGATGACAGCAGACATTTATATATTGCTTGATTACTTGCAAAGTACTTTGCAAATATTACCTCCTTTGATTCTCATAACAAAACTAGGAGGTAGATGCTATTATTATCTTCAATTTATAGATGGGAAAACTGAGGCAAACAGAAGTTCAGTGATTTACCCAGGGTCACGTGGCTAGTAAGTGTCTGGGGAGGGGGTGGGGATTTGAACTCAGTTCTTCTTGACTGCAGGCCCAGCATGCTTTCTCTACTGTGCTACAAGTACAACTTTTAAGTATGAAGAAAATCCAGAATGATGCTGAGAAATGTTTCCTGTATTTTAAATTATTTCATCACTGTAAATGTTCATCAATAGCACAATCATATATACCACTATGTCTTTATAGGAAGTTTCATAGGATATAACATAAAAGCCCCAGCTTGGCATTCGAGGCCCTCTCTGGTCTTGTTCCCACTTCTGTTTCAACCTCATTACCTATTATTCCCCTTTATGAACTCTATTCTCCAGATGGATTGGTGTGCTTCCTGTTTTCCCATGCATGACATTCGATCTCCCACCTTGATTTGACTTTTAAAGTCCTCACCACATGAGCAAATCAGCCTTACTGAGGCTGATTCTCTCTTAGGTCCATCTAGGGAGCGTTGAAGATATAGTGCTGGGCCTAAAGTCAGGAAGATCTGAATTCAAAGCCAACCAATGATAGCTGACTGTGTGACCCTGTACAAGTCATGTAACCTTTATCTATTTCAGTTTCTTCATCTGTAAAAATGGAGGTGATAATAGCTCCTATCTCCCAGAGTTATTTCAGGGATAAAATGAAGTAATAGTCATAAAATTCTTTACAAATGATAGCAATAACAGTTACAATAATAACAATAATATATTTTATTTAACCAAATAATCCTTCTCTGGGTTTCTCACAAATGAGTCCATCTCCACTTCCGTTCTTTCGTCTTAGACATTCCTCATGGCTAGAAAACATTATCTCCTCACCTCTACTAGATAATACCCCTCTCTTTTTTTGCAGGCATTTGGGGTTAAGTGACTTGCCCAGGGTAACACAGATAGTAAGTGTCTGAGGCCAGATTTGAACTCAGATCCTCCTGACTTTAGAGCCAGTAATCTATCCACTGTGCCACCTAGCTGCCCTTCCAACCCCCTCTCTTTCAAGGTGTATCTTAAGAACCACTGTCTTCATAAAGCATTCCCTACACCCACCATTCCACATTATCTAATGTTTGACTGTTTTCTATTTAGTTGATTCATATTGATTCTGTCTATATTTAAGCACATACTTACTCTCTTTCCTATTCAAATGTAAGGTCTTGACAAATAGAGATTATTTCGTTCTTTGTGTTTTTATCCTCAGAGCCCTTGGTGCCCACTGCCTAGCAGACACTTGATAAATGTGTGTCAATTGACTAATAAGTTGGGCCTACTACCATAGACATATGTAAACTATCACTGGGTGAGCTCTTAAAACAGATTCACCACCATGTCAGAATTAGGTTTGGGAACAGGGTCTTAATGGAATGACTAAAACAGGACTTTTTTAGAGGCTCTCTCTTAATTGAAGGAAGTGATTCTGTTTTGGAAACTTCCAACATGGTTCTGTCTTGGGGAAAGGAGAGAACATTTTTGAGCACTCTGGATCTTCATATACTTTTATTTTGTAATAGTTTATAGGGTGCATTATAACTATAAAGTGACACATGTATATACATACATATACACAGAGACAGAGAGAGAGAGACAGAGACAGAGAGACAGAGAGAGAGAGAAAATCTCACACTCAAAACAACCCTGTGATGCAGTTTGTATGAATAGTGTCCCCATTTTATAGATGAGGAAATTGAGGCTCAAATTTATGGTAAATAATGGAACACTAACACTTGAAACCAGGCAGCCTCTTATTGTATCTGTAATTAGAAACAAGTCCATGTACAAACCATTTCCTCATTAGGAAAAGAGGCATCTGTCTTACTGAAGTGGCTTCAATACAAATACATTACCGCATGCTTAATGCCTCTTTTCTCCGAGTGTTCAGTGACCATCTTGGTGAATCCTTTCATTGCTCAGCAGTTCCTCAGTGCTGCAGCCTAGCTATCCTCAAAGGACAACAAACAGTAACCCAATATGATGGATCCAATTTGGAAACTACATATCCCTCCTGGATTTTCTCTGCCTTTTGTTTGAGGCTACATATGACCTCTCAGTTGGTCTCACTAACACATAATTGTTAGCTATTAAGTGATACCATTACTGATGACAAAGGAGGAAAAGAGAGTAGGAGCTGGACAAGCATGGTGTATTAGAAAGAACCTTTGGACTGGAGGTCTGGGGGCCTAGGAGCTGGCAAAGACCTTAGAGATGTATATTTAGTCAATTCCCCTGCCCATTTTATAAGTAAACTGAGACTGAATGAGACATTTGATTTATGGAAAGTCAAATGCCCTCAACTGTAAATTAAGTGGAACCACATAGTTAAATTCTAAAAGCCATTCAGACATTAACATTTGCAGCTTCTGGGCTTAGTCCATCTGTCTATCTGTCCGTCTGTCTGTCTGTCTCTCTCTCTCTCTCTCTCCAGCTGTACCCGTATGTTGTTGTGGCTGTTACTGTTATTGCTGTTGTTGTTAGTCCAGCACATTGTCTGAAGTTTTCAAAGATTCCTTTATATTTAGTGTTACAAGCTGTCTAGGTATGGCTGCAATACCAACGAGGTACAGCAGGGGGAGGACCGGATTTGAAGTCAGAAGACATGGGTTCAAAACCAGCTTTACCTTTTGTTACTGAGGAGTCAGTAAATCACTACCTCTCTTCAGACCTCAGTTTTCTCATCTGTAAAGTGAAGGTGTAGGGGCAGAGGGGTATTAAATGACCCCAAATCCCTTCTACATTTCAATCTAGGGGTGACCAGCTGGCTGAGTGGAAAGAATGTTAGTTTCTGGAGAATCTGAGTTCAGATCCTGGCTTTGTTACTTTCGTCCTGTGTGATATTAATCATTTCCCCTCCCCAGAGTTCTGTTTCTTCATCAGTAAAATTAATGGATTGGCCTATACATTTCTTTCTACTTCCAAAGGTATGCCGCTGCAAACCTGTAATCTTGGCTTTCCTGTAGAACTGAGCTAATTTTATCTGGGCTCAGTTTGAATCCTCCCGGGGTGAAGCAAATCAACTTTTAGGACTTTTTTTTTTTCAGGAGGTTTTCCATCCTGCTTGGCTGCCTTTATTTTATTTATAACCCAAGGCTGAGCACTACGCATGTTTTTCCTAGGATGTGAAAGCCTACACCATGCATAGCATCCTTTCCTGGCTCTGTCTGCGTGCTACTGATGTTGGGGGTTGTTCCCAAAGTATCCACTAAGGGGAGTCGGGACGCTGGACCTCCCTTTTTGGTTTCTATGACAACGGTGAGGAGGAGAGCCTCTCCAGCAGAGCGCTTGCTAAAGCAGGTGTTGGGTTGCCCACAGCTCCAGAAGCTCCCGATCTTGGGGAGTTCCGAAGTGCTCTCTGCCTGCAGCACTGGCGTGAGTTCCCCGGAGCTCAGCTGAACGAAAATGGTTCACCACTCAGGGTCGATCCAATCCTTTAAGCAGCAGAAAGGTTAGTGAGAACCTCAGTCTCCACTCCTCTCCCTCTACCTCCCTTCCCCGGGTTGTTTTATTAGGTCTGCATGCCCTTCATTCTGACAGGAGAATCCCTTCAGAGCTCCTCACTTGGCTCCTCGAAGCTGACAACTAAGCAACTCTGGGTCTTTGAATTAAGGGTCTCTTATTGCCGCATCAATAACTAAGGGTGGTTTCCTGAGATTCCTCACTGTGCCTAAGGTTAAGTAATCTCCTGTCACAGTATCCTTATTTCCAAGTGCCATTTCCTCTGACTACTGCAGTAAACCAAAAAGGATGTATGGCATAGCTTGGCATGTCCATTTGGTTCTGGAGCTGTTGAATAGGGGACCTGAGTGGTATTTGCCAGAGCCTGGTGTTAAAGGGGGGTTAACCAAGAGTGTGGAAGCCACTGTAGACATCTTATGCTTTCAGGCTACATGCGGTCTTAGAAAGTGTCTGTGAGCAGGTGTGTCGTCAGAGCTAGGAACTCATCAGCTCTTTGAGAAAAGTTTATTCTGTCTGAGAGCAAAGCTTGATCCTCCAAACTAGTCTGTTTTCCATAGTCTGATCAATACGCCCCTCTAAAGTGCATCTGAGAACTTCAGCCAGGGCTTCTTCAAGTTTTTGCCTTGTGTTTTCCCTGCCATGCATGGCACGGTAATTTATCTTCAGCCCCTGCAATGCTGAGGAAAGGAAACATGATTTCAAATGTCACTCAATCACTGCATTCTTTCATCCAGGCATTTGATTTGCAAAACTGTTAAGGATACTGCTTGAATGGCTTTTAGGTTTTTTTTTTTCTCCCTTGCCTGTCAATGACAGGTTGCCCAAATGTCTTTATTAACCAATATCATTACTCTTTTGTTAAAGTAGCTATAGTGACAATATAGACACTAGACATAAAGTTGCTCCATTTCATGTGCATCAGTATCTTTACAGAATGGTAAAATAAAGCATTTTAGATTAAAAAAAAGCAGTTCTAAGATAATTATATAACCTGTATTTTCTTAATTATATTCTTGGCATTTATTCACTTATCATCATTTGACTTAGTATCTTTCATTTCTATGAATGGATCTCACTGGTAAAGGGTAGAGATCTGTAGGGCATCTGCCATACCACCACTCAGGAAGTTTCTGCTCTCAGGTAGTTTCCAAAGAGTTGGGATTTTTCAGATGTCTTGGGTGCTAGAGATACCACACGCATACACACACACACACACACACACACACACACACACACACACACACAGAGCCATATGGCTATAACTATATTCCCACTTATAAAACCAACACTCCCAGTACATTTTACATTTTATTTGTCTCAAAAGCTCGATCTTATTTAACTTAAATACAGTACTTTTAGACAAAGATTTTACTTTATTTTTATGAATAGTATTGTGAGAGAAAAAATAATTTACTTGCTTTTTCCAAAGAACCAGAAATATCCTATTCCTTTCTGATCCACATCTATGATTCACTTATATCTAAAGACAGACTGTCTTTAAATGGCCCCTAGAACAACTTTTTCTGTGGGAATACATGTAGTTATTGTTTTTTTTTTTAATTATAGCAAATAATGGCCAACTTTGAATCAATCTGTTACTGTTCAGAAGGAGTAATGAACAATCATGTAAATGCTGGCCCTCCTTGGTGTTTCCATGATGTTTCCACCTCCATGGTGTTTCCAGGAGATGTAATTTTGGAGTGTTTTTTACTCCCTGGTGTATAGCGTTTCTTCTTTTTTTTGGTTTGGTTTTGTTTAATAAAGGCAGCTTTAGCAAAACAGTAAATGTAGAAGCTGAAGGAAAATGTAATTAGATTTATGAGTGAGGGTCTGAGTAATCGTTGGTGTGTAGCCCTGCCTAGGATGCCTAGGGACATCAATATACAGTCATTTTGCAAGGAGGGAATGTCCAGTTTCTCAAAATGCTCCATCTTTCTGGACCTGTCTGAGGCTGCAGACACCATTCATGGAATGATAGGATCACACATTTAGAGCTGAACAGAAACTGAATGCAAGAGGGGTGACTTGCCCACAATCTTGCAAGCAGTCAGTCAGTTGGTAGCAGAACGGGGATTTGAACCTGCTTGCCTTCTCTAGATCCATTCTTCCTCCAGTGTACCATAATAAAGCTTAGGGGAGTGGAGAGAGATGGGACAGAGAGTTAAATGTGGATCCTAATGCCTTTGGAATACACAGTAGAAGTTAGATGACCTGGGTTCAAAACCCTGATGAGTGTCATCACACATTTTGTCTCTTCCATTAGAACAGAAACTCCTTGAAGGCAGGGATTATTTGGCTTTTCCTAAGTGCTTAGTAAAAAGTAAGCACTTAATATAATGCTTAATAAGAAATAGTACTTAATGAATTCTTGTTGATTGAATGATTGACCTCTACTCTCTGGGCCTGTTTTCTCATCTCATTTCTCATCTCATCACATAATCTTCCTAGTTAATTGGACAAGTGATTTAGTATTTCAGGGTCTTGATTTCCATATATGTAAATGAGGAGGTTAGTCCAGCTGAGCCTTAAAGGTCACTTGGGCTAACTATGGTAAGTCTTCTAGAGTCTCTTATAGAAAAAGTATTTTGTTAACCCTTTCCTTTTCCCAAAAGTATTTCAGAGGAAACAGAGGCTTCTTCCCAGATAAGTCTCAACAAATATTTTTTAAGCTTTTGCTATGAACCAGACATTTTGCTGGGCATTGAGGGGAATACAAAGACCATGTTGATATCTTCCCTTCCCTCAAGGAGCTTACATTCTCTCAGGGAAGATAGCATGTTTAAATCCAAAGGAGACTGTCCTTAGAGAAAACCTCATTTTCTTTGCCTCTTAAGGAGTCATTGGAGTGATTTTAGGGACCCTTTCTAGGATTCACTTTGTTACTGTGGGAGACTTTTTTTTAAATTTAATTTCATGTTTCCATTCTAAGAAACACTGAGGCATGCCACAAAACATGGTGTTATGAGTCTAAAACTCTCCATCTTCTGTAAGATACATAGATACCATTTTTATCTTCAAAAAGAAACAAGGTATAGTACATGAATTCTTCATGTTTTGGCTCCCAAATCCTTCCCAGAAATATACATAATTTTCATTAATAGATATTAAATCTAGGGAAAGAAGGGAAAAAGAGAACATTATGGACAGGGATAGAGGAGGAATTAACTCCACGGAGCATGACTTCTGTTCTTCATTCACATGTTTTAACACAAATAACTCATGTTAGCCTTAGTTCCCCAAATCCCAATTGCAGGAATATATAAGGACCTAGTGGTTGAAATAGGCAGCAATTTCCCCCCTACATATATATGTCCAAGGTAAGTCTCTTGAATAGAATAGAAATCAAAGTCTATTAGGGATTCCCTTTTCCCTTGACTCTGAGCATTTCCTTTTCCTTGGACATAGCTGTTATCCATTTCTCTCCAGGGACAATATTTCTATAACAGTGCAAGCTAAATCTAAATTCCCTTCTAGAATAAAACTCCACTATCACCTTCCTCTTACATCCAAAGCCTGTGACTTGATAATCAATTCCATAATTTCATTAGGAGTTTTGATGTGTTTTTCACCCCTCAGTTATACATTTAGGACTAGAAAAACCCTCAGAGGCTCTCTAATCCAATTCCACTTCCATTTCGCAGTTAAGAAAACTGAGGTCCAAAGAAATGAAAAGTGATTTTTTTTCCCGAAGATGACACAAGTATTAAGCAGCTGAGTAAAGATTTGAACCCAGGTCCTCTGACTGCAAATCTAACACTCTTTCCACTTTACCAAGCCTGTCTTAAGCCTGGTTCCTAAGTCCCAATGGCTGCGACTCTAATTGACCCAATCCATCCTAGGCAAAATCCCTAAATGGTATCAAATGCATTCCCTGTTCTTAAATTTCACTGCAGCAAAATATCACATGGGGACAGACCGTAATGAAAAATACTCTATTTCTGTTACTTGTTGCTGCAAAAAATGATCCCCAGATGAACTTGGAGGAATTGCAATTCACAGAAATAACATATTTTCTAAAGCCTTGCTATTTGTAAACTGATGAGGATTGGGTAGCAGAGGTAGGAGTCCATTAGTTGTTGAGGAAATACTGATAACTTTTGATCATTCAAGTTAAATGTAAGTTTGCTGAAATAGCTCTTGAATTCAGTTACTTAAAAACAAAACAAAACAGTGTTCTGTAGTTTGGGCATTCCTTTGAATCTTATTCCATCACAGTGAAAGGCGTGACACACACACACACACACACACACACACACACTGAAGTACTGAGATGATCAGTTGAAATGCTCATGCCTTTCCTTTTTGAGTCCTGAAGGCTCCTCTGGTGAAACTGATGGAACCTCTTCTCAAAATGTTCTCTGATGCATGAAATAGAAAGTTTGCAGAGTTTGCAGGGTGGGAATATGCTCACAAATGCATGCTAATCTCCTGTGACCTGGCCAGAGTAATGTTATCCACACCCACAGCTGCCCTCACCCTGTTGCATTTCCTCTAGCTGCAAAAAATAAATAAATAAATGAAAATAAAACCCCCAAAACAAACAAAAACTAAACAAAAACCAACAAACAAAAAAATTCATGAGTTCACAATTCATACAGAGGGCTGGAGAGCAGTCAGTCAGTAAGCATTTATTAAGCACCTACTGTATACAGGCACTGTACTAAGCTCTGGAGATACAAAAAGAACAACATAATGGTAACCCTACTTCATGATGGCTGTTTTTGTATGGACTATCTTTAGGGAAAACTGCAAGTCCAATCAGCAATGAATTCTTGAAGAATTTCAGGATTTTGTAGCTGAAGAAGTTGAATAAGATCTAGACCATCTTTTTTAGGCCCTCAGTATTATAACGTTGTGAGCTCTTCAGAATAGAGTACCAGTCCTCAAGTCAGAAAGACTCATCTTCCTCAGTTCAAATCTGGCCATAGAAACTTATTAGCTGTGTGACCCTGAGCAAGCCACTTAAACTTGTTTGCCTCAGTTTCCTCA